GTTGTAGCTTATATTTAGAGCTACAAATCGGTATATGATACTATATGCCGATCTTTAATCGAACTCGAACCAGACTCAAACTCGTATAACGGTTCGGTTCAAGTTCGGTTCGAACTTTGAATCTTTCTTGAACTCAAGCCAAAGTCCGGTTCAGTTCAGTTCATAGGAACACTAACTTTAATATATAATTAAAATATCATTTATAACTAATTTCATATGACTGCACTTCTTATTCAGATATTAATTATATTAAATTAGTAATAACATGTATTTTAACTAGAAAAGACAGGTATATTCTTAAATAGTCTTTGATTAACTTGGTGTTAATAAAGTTTTTTTGCTTTTATTTTTTAACAAATATAATAATTAATTTATTATGTATTTATTAGAAGAATCAATTACTTTGTATTTTCTTTTCTTGATTAAATTTAAAATACTTCTTGATGAAATAATAATTAAATATTAAAGAACTTTGTGTTCTATTCTTTATAAACTCCTTTAATAAATATTTCAAGTTTTTGATAAACTCATTCTGTTCTTGGTGAATTCATATTTTTTTAAGTTATTAGTAAATTTGTTAGATTCCTAATAAATTTTTTAATACTTTGACTAATAAATAATAATAATAATAAATTATTTTACACTTTGCTTATTCTTTTATACTTTTTCATATAATTATAATTACTACCTATTGTATAATAAAGATCTTTATTCACAAAGATTACTAATAATAATAATAATAATAATATCTAGTTATATTAATTAATATCTTAATTATAACAAATAATATATTAGTTATATAATTTTTTGATTAATATTTAGATTTTGATCAGATATTTGATATTTGACTTTCTAATTAAAAAGTTATATAATCTAATTACTTTATAAATTAATATAATTAAATATATAATTAGATTAATTATGATAATATATTTTATTTATTATATTTGTATAAGTTAAATTTTTGTCTATTATAAAATAATTCATTTTATCTATATATATGTAATCTCAAGTAAATATACAAGAACAATTTCATGTTTCAAGTTTATTAATCTTTATTACAAAAATAAAAAATTTAAGTTAATATTATAATTATAAATATCCAAATAAAAATCTAAATAAAATAAAAAAATTACTTATTATTATTGAATTTTAAATTAAAATATAATTCCAAGTAAAAGTATAAGAATAATTTCATGTACCAAGTTTATTAATCTTTATTATAAAAATAAAAAATTTAAGTTAATATCATAATTATAAATATTCAAATAAAATAAAAAAATCACTTAATATTATTGAACTTTAAACTAAAGCATAATTTCAAGTAAAAATTTAAGAATGATTTCATGTACTAAGTCTATTAATTTAATATTTCTATAAACTGAACTGAATTAAACTTTTGTCTGAATTTGAGTTTGATTCAAAATTTGAATTGAACTCAAATCAGACTTTGGTTTGAGTTCAAGAAAAATTTGAAGTTTGAATTGAACTTGAACTAAACTATTATACAAGTACAAGTTCGATTCAAGTTCAATTAGAAATTAGTATATAATATTATATATTGATTTATAATCTTAAATAAAAGCTATAACTTTAATTATAAGTATTAATTATAGTATTTAATAAGAATTAAAAGTTTACTTAGTAATAACCAAATTATTTTTATTTTTGTGATTATTAAATTTTATTATAAATTCTATATATTTCTTTAAATAATAATTATTATTAACAAATATCTTATACAAAATTGTAACTCTTATTTTGACTATAACTTTGCTTATAATTATAGTTTATAGTTACTATAAAAATAAATGTATTAACTATTTTATATAAATTTGTAGCTCTAGTTCTAATCTACAACTTTATATAGAAGCTTATTGAATATTTACTTGAACTCAAACTGGACTTTTGATCAGGTTTGAGTCTAATTCAAGCTCAAACTGAATTAGATTTTTTTCAGAATTCTACTTATTACATGTAATATAAAGAAGTATATTATGTAAATTATGTGATATGCTATTTTATATTATATATAACAATTTGAAATAAAATTTTGAGTTTAGATTTCTGATATATATAATTTTATTTTATATTAATATTAAATTATAAAGTAATTGCAAATTCTGGAATGACTAAAAACTATTAATACTTTTCTTTAGAATTCACTAAGTTAATACTATTACTCTTAGTCAAATTATCACTTAATATATTTTGTCATTTACTGTTTAGCAATAATTTATTATTTGAGTAATTTTTTATGCAAGTTCAATAAAAATAATATTTCAAGATATTTACAATATAAATTAAAAAATTATTTTTTAAAATTGCTTATTTTTTTATGATTATTTTTTTATACTACAAGTGACTCTCGATATAAAAAAGACTAATTAAAATTTGATATAAGAAAGTTGAGCTCTATAATAAATTTACTTGATGTAAAAAAGTTTTGTAAATTAAGCACCAGTTGTGTTATATCAAATTATAATAAGCAAATTTTATAAGCATGCTTTAAAGAATCTAATTTTGTAAAATTATAATAATTTTTTATCATTTTACATGAAAAACAAAAATTCTAATTATTTATATCAAGAACTGTAATAATAATTAAATTCATTCATTTCTTAAATCAAAGTTGTGAAAATTAGACAAAATATAAAAAGTATGTTGGTTAATTACTGTAGGAAAAACTACTAAATAAAAAAAATGAGTAAACTAATTTATAAACAACTCTATAATAACGAAAAATCAACAAAACCAGTAACGACAACTTACAAAGTTAATATATCTGAGTCAGCAACAGCATCATCAAGAAACTCTATCAGTTTCGCTTACTTTCACGCTCTTTCTTATGCAAAAATTCGGATTTGTTATCATTTAATTTCTTCGTCATATTAAAACCGAAAGATTAGTCAGACAGTAAGCAAAACATCAGTTACACGATGAAGTTATCACAACCACTGGGTTGTTGACTGCTATTGCGAAATCCGTAGAACCTCAGTTATAGAAATTAAGAATCATAAATTTGATTCTCAATTAATATATAGAAATTTTCTATAATGATATATCAATATCAATAAAAAATCGTTATTGATATCGATATCTCTTTATTTAAGGAATCAAATGCACTATCGCAATAAATAATCCATATTGATATTCAATTCCTGCTAACCTTTCGTTCAACAAGAATAGTGATAATTAATAAATAAGAATAAGTAAATGAAATAATCGTGTTTTGTAATACATTTTATATGACGTTACTTCTATAAAAACGCAATCGTTTGACGATGATGAAGACTTGCTCAAGTTAGTGTTGATTTCAAATTGACTCAACTTCGGAAGAAGACGAGATGAAAATTATTAATTTTCAATTTGGAAGTGGATTCGAATTTTTTTTAACTATTTGCAACTGGTGCTGTATCTTCGTTGCCGATTATTAAAAAACATGAAGAAGGGACGAGAATAGAAGGGAATGTTGTTATGAGTGCTAAAAGTGATAACTTGTATTATGAATTAAAATTAACATGAAGAATGTTGTTATGCGTGTTAAAAGCGACAACTTATATTATGAATGAAAAAATTAACTGCTGGCTCATTTAAGAACGGTTTTAATAAATTTAGCTCAGTCATTTACGTGATTTTTTTATAAAACAGAAACTAATAAAATAAACTGGATAGACAGCATAACTGTTTAATTCACTTATGAAATCCGACAAAAAAATCAATTTACTTCGGTGGCTTCATGAAAGACTGATATATTTCGTTGCAACTTGTAAGTTTATAATATTCTATTTATAACACAAATCATTTGTCGTTGACTGTGCTATTTTATACATGTATCATGTTATTCATGCTAATTTGAATCTAGAAGTAAAAAATTTTTACCATGCTAAAGCGAGCTCGTAATTGAATCTAAGGATTTGTTTTCCAACTCTTGAATAAAAATCCAGATTCGTTGATTGATTTACGTACTTATTTTTATCATGTAATTAAAATAATCACATTGTAATCAATCATCTAAATTAATTTTTTAGCATTCTCATATGTGCCGCGCTGTCCGTTGTAGGAGTTTCGATAACAATCAATATAATAGGCAGTATTGAACAATAGGAGAAATTCAATGATATAGTTTTTTCCATTAAACTTAATAATATCGATCTTTTTCACACTACTTACTCTAATGCACGTAGAATATAACGTGTGCATCAAGGAGAGGTAATTACCAAAGAACAATGGAAATATATTTGCGTAAATTGTTATATAAAACGTACAATTAACAGATCATTAAGCTAAATATCAATAATAAATTCTTTCGGAGAATATAAAATTTAACTCAAGTTTGAAGCTAAAAAATGCAACATTCAATGCATTTCCCACAACAAACCTCATCATCAATGTTGTCCTCACACTCTTCTCCACAAATGTCACGACAAAAGCGTCGAATCAGTTTTGCCTATATTTACAGCGTATCCTTTCTAAAAATGCGACAACTGTCTATTGACGAAAATCTTCGTGACGTTGTGTTGATTTCGACTTGGCTTCAAAGACATTTGAACAAACGACAAGAAACTCAACGACTACATCAACAACAAGAGATCGAAGAACAAGTGAGGCGATTAGGACTTTATGAAGATAATACAGATTTGTATGAATTAAGTAATAATGAAATGGAAGAGGGTGAAGACGAATTTGATTGTCGTGGTATAAAAATTCAAAAATGACGGAATGAAATCTTTTTCCTTAAATATAAATTTATTTATTTGGAATGTAAGCTAAGCTATAATATTTTATCTACTTAAATTTATTATAAAACTAAGTTCTCGTTTGATAGAATTGCTAGCAATGCTAGCGTCTCTACGTTAAATTGTTCATACCGATACATGTAGTAGTGTCAATGTGTTGTTTAGAAAATCAAAATATTTATTTGAGTTTAATTAGCAATGATAAAATCTCAACAGACACCAAACACTCTACAGTCCCCGGCGAAAGTAATGGCGGTGAGATTATTATATAAATTTTACTAACATTTTTTAATATATAAATGATAGTGCTAGATTTCTAACAAGATAATAATTAAAAAAAAAGTGATGGGCATCCAGTTGCGGAAAGAGAGCACACAATAATGCCCTACTCAGAGGCACTTTCAAAATAATTTTTTTTTAATCTATTATATGAAATATAATAAAAAAACTGACCGCATTACTTTCGCCGGGGACTGTACATCACTTTTAAGTTCGAATATTGAAAGAAAGTAATAGTTTGTTACTAGTTTCTTCACTACTAAAATAAAAAAAGTTATGCTAGTTATTCTGTTTTTATGAGTTACGCATGTACATACACTAAAAATAAAGATGAAAAGCAATCAAGAAAATTTAAAGTTTCAAGAATTCTAAGATAACATACCATGCAATGGCAATAAAAATATTATTTACTCTGCTAGCTTGAACTCTTCCAGCTGCTGGCCATTGTCTATCAGCCGCGAAAGCAGAACCTCGCGAGAACCAACAATAACAACCAGATAGGCAGATGCTTCGTGTTGCATGCGCAATTTAATGATCTCGAGGCTGTTCCAAGAGCAGAATCCATTCGTGTATAGTCTTTTTAGAGCGGTGCACATTCCCAACTAAAATTTTGTCCCACGAACCAAATGGAAGTTGGAGCGCGGCATCTGTGTTCAAGATACTACCAAGGTATGCTGCTTTCTCAAATCGTTCGCTCCAGGAATGAATAGGAAATCGACCCTAACCTCCTTGAATTCGTGCAAGCAAGTTATCGTTAGGTTGCATAATGGAAAATTATACTTACTCTTTTAAAGATATTGTTTTTTACCTTGGTAATTTTGAACTCTACATGTTCTCACAGAAGCGAGTTTTTGAGAGCAATGCGATCACAGTGACCTACTTCCCACATATCAAACTCATCATCATGCTTGCTTATTAGCTTCTGATAGCAGCCAATAATTGTGTGACATTTCCAGTCGTCACGATTTTCATAAGAGCATCTTCAACATCCTCTGCACACAGTTGGTAACGGGCCAAAACAGCTAGCGTGAAGCGTTGGACTTGGATGAGATTCGAAATTCGCAGTTGCTTCCTATGCTCCTCTTCAACATATGTAAGACCTCCGGCATACCGCATGAGGCCGCTTCGTCCTTTGTGGAGTCCTGCTGCAGAATTTATGGACAGAAACAAATGTTTATTTTTTAGAGAACGCAATATTCCGCACACACAGAACAAATCATAATGTTGTGTACCAAATCTGAGAAGCGGAACTGGAATGGCAGCATCTTATATAAGATCGGATCGTGCCAGATATCAACATTCGATGTTGAACTGAGGCTGCTGACTTTTTCAAGGATGCTAACAGCAATAGGCGAACTGGCGAACACCTGGAGTAATGGGTTAAATAATTTTCAGTTGAAGGGATTGCTTGGTTCAATTAGATTCTTCGTCAGCAAACACTGATAAGATATCAGTTGCGATAGTAACAACGAGAATGATAACAAGAATGCAATAAACAAGCATGCTAGACAAAGATCACGTAGTCCTAATCGCTCACCTGAAGATAGTCCAAAGTGGTGTTCGTGTTGAAAACGCGCGGAACTCCAGTAAATTGGGAGAAACGGCAACCACTGTAGTGAGGCACCATAATATGAAAGTGTTGCTGGACTTCGACGTCTGAACCACACACATTGAATAGTTGTAGAGCTGCGAGGACATCTTCACTGCTAATATCACAGAGTCAGAGAGCTCTTTCATATCTGAGACATTCGTCACGATGTTAAAGCCGCCGCTAGCATCAGCCAGAGAAAACAGCAACATTCTCGTGATGAAACATTTCTCGATCTTTTGGTGGTCCTTGTACACACGCCCAGAAGATTTTAAGTAAGGACTGTCCATTGTGAAGATTACTATAAGTCTTCTGGTCCTTGAGATTCAAATATGCATTACTAAAAGAATCATATTCGTCGGCTAGGAGATAGATCTGCGAGAATAACGAGTTTTTAGCATAGGCAATAGCTGCAACAAGATGAGATCTGTCATTAGATGGTTACCCCCTTTATGTCAGTTTTCGAGACTGGGAATTGAATTATTTGTGCAGATGAGTTTCTTGATCAGCTGACTGCTTGTGTCGCGCCCAGATAGAGGCATACGTCCGGTAAAACTTTCTGATAGCATTGTTAATCATTTCATGAAATTCGCCTTTGGCAACTTTTGGATCAGAGTCGCAGCTGACACGAAAAAAATCGAAAAACTGGTTTGGGATAACCTTGCCGGCCAGGACGTCCCGGTGAACAGAGAGATCCTGCAAGTAATGAGTTAATAACGGATGCAAAACCAGAAAAAAGAAAGAAAAGAGACACCGTCACTAGTAACCTGGAAGAATTCAATGTAGTTGTCTTTGTATTCCACTTCATGGAAGTGAGCAAGCATACTGAGTGTCAACGATTTGCCAAATCGGCGTGGCCGAAGAGTAGTAAATTTTCTTTGAATGAATTGAGTACCGATATATATCGTGTTCGGTCGAAGTAAGCTAATTCAGGGTCGGTACGAAGTTGGAGAAAGTCACTTTTGTCATTAACTGGGAAGCTTCGAAATCTCTTTGAGTTAAGCACCAATATGGATGCAGTGTGCTCTTCACGACGTTTCTTCGCAGTATGTTTATGCTCTGTGTACCGACCACTCCTACCATCTTCATTTTCCTCTATACCTTCCAATTCAACATCTTTGCTTCTTTCGCGCTTTGCGCTGGATGTCGAGAGGAGGTCGCTGATTCGACTTTTAATTGCATCAGCCGTTTGTTTCGTTAAGATTTCGTCAACCAAGGTCTGATAACAGGCAAAGGAACGTTAGGACAATAATCTTTGAACGAACATATATCATAAGAAATGCGTTTACAAACCTTTTCGTTTTGAAGAACAAAATTTAGTGATTCAAAATAATCTTTTATGCCTTTAGCATAGTCATCTCTCATAACGCTCATCGATCTCAGCAAGCTTAGAAATGTTGCAGTCAGCAAGGATTGCTTTTATATTGGAATATCATCTTAAGATGCCTGTCTGCTTGCGCGTGCAGTTGAATTCCGAGAAGTACGCGGCTGGGATCGGCGATTTCGTTTTCAAAAAATTGTATTCTTGCTGGAATACCATTTGAAAGCAAAGCTAGTGTTGAAAAGCGTCAGTGCTTGGAATAATCAGAAAGGTTTTTACGGATAATTTCTCGTGATTTGATTGATTATTATAATCTCTCCAGTATCGTGCTATGACTTTATGTAAATATATAATATATCTTAATATTTAGTAATCTAATTTTTGACATTTAGTAATTTAATTTAAATAAAAATATTATTTAATTTATTTAATTAAAATTAAACAATAATATTTTTGTTTAAATCAAATTATTAAATATTAAAATATTGTATTTTAAAGTAACAGATTTATAATATCTTAATCTTTAGTAATTTAATTCAAATAAAAATAATAGCATTTGATTTGTTTTAATTAAATAAATTAAATAGTATTATTTTTGTTCAAATAAAATTACTAAAAATTAAGATATTATATCTTAAATTGATTAATTCAATTTTTTAATAATTATTTTTAATGAACAATTAATTAATAAATATGAATTAATTAGTTTAATATATAATATTTTAATATTTAATTATTTAAGTTAGTGTAAATATTATTATTTGATTTATCTAAATTAGATAAATTGAATTATAATATTTTTATTTAAATTAAATTATTAAACATTGAGATGTAAAAGTTATAAATATATAATATTTAATATAAAAGCTTTATTAATTTATAAAAATATATTGTTGTATAATGAATTTTTGATTGAATATTATACAGAATCATTCATACTTAATATTATTGGATTATAAATATCTTATATCTTATTTGAAGAATCTAATTATGTGAAACAAGCAAATAAACATGCAAGTGAATGAACAAACAAGTAAATAAACAAGCAAATGAATAAGTGAATATTGGATCAATAGAATTTAAGTGATAAAGTGAATATGAATTTGTATAGCTGATAAACTATATTTTGAATTTGTATAAAAGCAACATGTATTGTAGTTATTAGAATTAAATATAAACAAGTTCTTTT